CACTACCTTAGATTACTCCAGTAGTTTTTGATGGTTTTTTTTAGGATTTTCTTTTTTTTTTTACATTTTATTGTAAAATTATTTACTAAAATGAATCATTTACATTTAATTCAGTGAATCTAACAATGACTCATTTGCAAAAATATTCAGAATATGTTCATACTTTGGGGATAAAATACATTCATGATGTAATGTTTGTCTTGTGAGGCTGCCAGCTCTTCTTGATTCATTTCTTCTTTTCTTTTGTTGTTGCTTTTTCTTTTTTTTTTCTGAATGTGTTCATTTTCATTTGTTAAAGTCATTAAATTTGTTGTGTCATTTTCATTCTGTGGTGTTTCTTCATGCTCTCCTTATGTTTGTTACTTTTATTGATGATCACATTTAAGTTTTTATAAAATGCCCCACAGAGCTAAATAGCTCTGGTAGCGCAGGTTGCAGCCTTGGAGCAGTTTTAATATAGACTGTTTATACTTTATCTCCTGATGTATTCATTTTTGTGTATAAAGAGAAAAAACAACTACAGTTTCTTCCATATTTTGTTTTAGCCCCCCCTTCTAAAATAATGTAAAACCCCAGAGCAAATCTACCTTTAGATGCACTTTCATAAATCTTAACACTAACAGTAAACAGCCTCAACTGTTTTATTTTATTGTTTGTTTTTTTTAGTTGGAGAAAAAAATCAGTGTTTAGAAAAAATAAGATTTTTATAGAAAAGCATTGATGCCACAGGCCCCTATATAGCAGTTCATTTAACATTCATATTAGCTGTATAAATTGTTAGAAAGGTATAAGAGACAATTACCTTTCTTGGGTTTAAGTGGAGCTGGTTTTGTTTCCTTGATTTAGAAAGTTGAAATAGAAAAAAATATAAAGAAATGCACAATTTGATTTACTTTGTCTATTATTTTATTTTATGAGATGCATTCAATGAGGATTAAACTTCAAAACCGTGTTAAGAATCCTTCATGGAGCCTGAGTTGCAGAGCAGAAAAAAGCAAAAATCTGTCTAGACAACAAGTCCGGTAATCTAATCTCCTGTTTGCTTCTTAAACCCAGAGAGTCATGCAAGGACAAAACAAACTTCTCACTTTCCATTAAATCATATTAAATTCCTCCAACAAAAACAAACAGCCTTAAATCCCTCGTCTAATATTATGGTCTGGCACTGGAGGTGACAACAGAGGTGGTGGGGGGGTAAAAAGAGCCTCGATTCTCTGGAGCCGGAGACACAGAACGCAGGATGGCTTGGGGATGTGTCTCCTAATCAGATTCAGACAGCAGCATTGAGGACAAAGCTTGAGACATCCTGAAGTTGGTTATGTAAATGCTTGCTGCATTTTTAATCTTCAGCTCTACAGCTGGCAGCCTTTCTTTACCACTACAGAGCAGATCATTATTTCTGCCTCAACACATCTGCTTCTGTGATTATGCTTTTCATTTATAGCCAGCCTCTCCTAATTCCCTCTAATCCGCTGACCAGTTTTCAGCTGCTGCACATTTGAAGAGCGGTATCTCCAAAAAATGATGTGAGAGGTTTTTCCAAGTGTGTTTTTTAGCATCATGACTCAGTTCAAATAAGAGTGGGATATCAAGAGCCAGGAATAACAAAATGAGCCAGCAGGGAGAACGCTAGGTTTTATGATATAATCATGATTAATATCCCTTAGAACAAACTCCTCATGCTTTCTCTCTCACTCTGTCTGTCGCTCCATCTGTCTCACCAGCATCCTCACAGAAAAGACGGGCTACATTTTCATCGAGGGTTGAGCTCGCCTCCCAGCTCACAGACAGGAAATGGCCATATATAGGCTTTCTGTCTCCTCACTGGAAGTTTCATAAGCTGCTGTTCTCCTCTCTCTGTGAGCAGTCTCCATAGCAACAGTATTTTGTTTCCCTCTGTGGCAGGAAGCAAGAGAGAGTCAGAGATAGGAATTTCAAACGAGACGGTGAGCATAGATGTACGATTAGGTCAAAACAACAAAAGTGGACCCATGGAGGAGGAAAAAAGAGCAGAAAGAGGAGATGAATATCACCGCAGGGTCGTCGGGTATTAAGTGGGTTTTCTTGTTCCGGGAATGAGAGCCCGACCAAACACAAGCATTACATAAATCCAACTTTAGTCTGACTCACAGCTACATTCAGATATGGGCTTTTCAGGTCACAGCAGCAGAGATGAGTAAATGCATTGACAGTAACTCAGGCAAGAATCAGGGCAAATTGCTTCTGTAAATACTTTTTTGTTTAATTTTGTTAGAGTTTAGTAAAATAGTAACACCATCTCTCAATCGAGACTGAAGATTCTCAATGAATATATTTTTATCAAATAGATAGATTCTTTATTAAAAAGAGACCACTTAATATAATATATTTTAATTTGTTTCATGTCCAGTTCAGTGGATGGCAGCTCTATTGGCTTAAGTTCTCATCCCAAAAGAATCATGTAGAAGCTGAGGTACAACCAAAAAGCAAGAGGTTGCAAAGTACAAAGTATTACATATAGCTTTGTTTTAGCTCACATCCCATGCTTTCTGAATCAGGGGAATATTTTATGTGGCTAATGGAAGACTTCCTTACATTAATCACACCTTCATTTTGGCAATGATAATTATGCGGTGTTTTTTTTTTTTCAGTTTTCAAATTTTTTTTTGAAAAATACTTTTATAAGCAATCTGAATGCTGCTACTGAACATGTTTAAAATTACTCTTACATTTTGTTAAGTCCACCATTACAAAAATAATGTTGTAGAGCTTATTCTAATCCCCTAATTGTATGAACCAATCAGTAAAAATTATTATTTAGATGCTAAATTTTTTTTAACATTGTATCCATTAAGACACAAGGTTGTAGATGTTGTAGCTTATTTTTTTAACCTAATTTCAAAAGATTTATTTCATTAACCTAACTTTTTAAAATGTAATTTTAACTGCCAAACTAAACCAAATTCTATTTTTATTTTTTTATATGATATTATTAGTTCTAGCAAAAAATGCCCCCCATTTTTTGATAAGGAATACAAATACTACAGTAAAGGTATAGTATACCTGAGAACTAGAATCACTGAAGTCCAAAACTCTGCAAGACTTGGGAGTGGCAGCTTAGTGGTTAGGGCATAGAGCTTGGAATCCTGAGGGACCCCACTCCCACAGACTGCTACTCTGGGTCTCTGAGCAAGTCCCTTAACCCCACACTGCTCCCTGGGCGCCCCATGGTGGCAGCCCACTGCTCCCCAGGGGGGATGGGTTAAATGTGGATGTAAATTTCTCCAATGTGAGATCAATTAAAATAAATTATTATTAAGATTGACCTGGTTTTAAGAAACTGGCAACCAAATATTAATTACCAAGGAGAAAAAAGTCAAAACAGAATGTTTTTATTTATTCCAACTAGACCTTTACTCCATAGTTTTGCCACTTTTATTAAAGAATGTTACATGATGGAGGGAATACTAGAGTTTTAATGTTCGATAAAAGCAGATTCTTAATTTTATTTAAAGGCAAACTCAACCAGGTAAGTCGTTGGACAGGTTTATTGCTCTGGCTTTTTTTTTTTTTTATGAGGTTTGGCTCTTTTTATAAAAACATTGCCAATCCATTCCAAGAGGCATATGTGCAATCAGCAGATTTTACAAAGGAAAAAAAAACGTATTCATTGGAAGTTAGTAGTTGAATGTACTGTTTCTTTATATTCTGAGTGTGTGAAATTAGATGTAGATGTATAACAGAATAGAATAATGACGTTCCTGCGTTCTGCTTTCTCTCACCCTCTTTGCAGGGATCACAGGGTTCTTCCACCTCTCTGTCTTCCGCTCAGGTTTCTAGCCCAGCGGAAGACATCAATGGCGTCATTCCTGAAGGTGAGAAACATCTATGTTGCAAAGTCAGTTTAATCTATTATTTAATAAGGGAAGGCCTGACACCTTCAAATGTCAAGCATATGAGTCAGCCTTTTTAACCTTTGATACCTGTTTCTGCAACTTCTTTATGGTTCTCCGGTTTGTACTTTTTGCTCTTAACAGTTTTTAATACTACGTTGTCCTCTTTTTTTTTCTATGTCTTACTGCAAAACACTGATGCTGTAGATTATTATGTTAAAAAAAAAGGTCAGCTATGAGCTGCAATATTTGAGCTGGAGAAAGTTGTAATACTTGTTAAATCTGTATACTTGTTAAATCTTGTTAAAGCTTCACATGTGATTTTAGTCAAAGAGAGCCCTTTAGACCACTTTAATAATGTTTTAACAAATACAATTTATATTTAGCTAATTACCCATATTATATATTTATATTTTGATTAACAAGTCAGTCTCACATAAATAGTAATACGTTTGATGCTCAGAAATAAAGAAATAATGTTATGCTCATTTTAAGGTCTATAAACTAATGGAAACCTTTTTAAATCTGTTTTCTGCAGCTGAGATTCTCCAGGATGAAGTTCCTGCTGTACCGCCCTACATATCTGACCGCTACAGGGTGGGGCGGATGCTGGGCGACGGGAACTTTGCGGTTGTGCGGGAATGTGTGGAGCTCTCGACAGGACGGGAGTACGCTCTTAAGATCATCAACAAGGGAAAATGCAGAGGCAAGGTGAGCAAATGCCTGCAGAAGGAGACTCTCGAAGCAGCTTTTACATTTCAAACTGTGATAGTCAAGCAGAGAGATTATAATGGATTATGCTGGATTATGATTTCTACTGTTGAGGTGCTTGGATGATAGAAAAGAATTTTGCAGACATAGCATCTTGCAATTAGTTTCAAATGTTTCGATGTTCTCCTGTTGTTTTCAAGGAACACATGATTCAGAACGAGGTGGCCATCCTCCGCAGGGTCAAGCACCCAAACATCGTTTTACTCATTGAGGAGGTGGACACATATAATGAGCTTTACCTTGTTATGGAACTGGTCAAGGTATGTTTACGTCATATTATGTTTGATGTCTTAAAGAGCCTTGTAAAGGTTCCAAAATTTAAAAGTGTCATTGGGCATTTTCATATTTTGACACATTCATTTCCTAAACCTCTGAGGAATGAAGTCAATACTTTAGTGTTTAAGAAGGAGAAATTATTCTTTTTAATTGTTTATTTCCTACTGGATATCTGAAAAGTGTGGCATGCATTTGCACTGTTTTCAGTTCAGTCTCTACCAGCTTTACACATCTAGAAGTTGAATTTTTCTGATTTACAGTATAAAATAGCCCTACTTGAGTCAGATTTGATTAAGAGCATCTATGAACATTATTTTTTTTTCTATTCACACATATTCTGAATTGGATAATTTGACTGGACCATTTGATTGTTGCTCTGGCCGTTTGTTTTCCATCTAAAAGGTGAAGTTTCACCCTCGTCTTGTATTATATTATTATATTTCAACCTCTTACAGGTTTTCATTCAAGTGTGGCTTTATTTCAATATTGGCTTTCTTTTTTCACACTTTCAAATTCCAAAAATGAACAATTTATAGCTGTTTAGTCAATGGATTTTCCTACCTGAGCTGCTGACCTATGCAACTCCTCCAGGGTTACAATGGGGATCTAGGCTCCTTCTTTTATCAAAGCAATCCTTGATCTTGGCAGATTTTTACTTTTGCCATTATCAGTACTCCTGAAAAGTTTAACGTTTGGGATACTGTTTTATACCATAGCTCTACTTTAAACATCTTAACTTAATCCCTTCCCTAGCTACTGTGTTCATAGGTCTTTATTATACTGTTTTCTCTCAAAGGATTTTTATTAAACCTATTCTAAGATTAACTTTTTCACAAAAGGATAACTTTTACTAATTAGATGGTACTGGATTTTGGGCTGTGCCATGTTAAAAGAAGAAATAAAACAGTTAAAGACTAATAAGATTTTGAGGGTAAAGTTATTTCTATAAGGCAGCCATGTTGAGTTTGGGTGTATATTCTGTTACACTTAATGTAGATCAATATCTCCAGTTAGGTTGCAGAGATGACGACAGAGACAAAAGCGTAGCAATCAAGCAGCGTAGCGAATGACGAAGTCGCGCAGCATGAGATGGGGAGAATTGCTTCTTGGCTGCAGGCACTCTTTTCCTCGCATTCTTCATTCTCTCTCCTGCTCTCTGAGTCGAGAAATGTTTGTGCATAATTCAGGAGCCAGGAATGGGATCCATCTGTTCCGTGGAGTACTACAGAATATAGATGTGAGCCAGCCTGTGGGAGAAATGTGCGTACGTGTTACCACGTCCAAAAGTGGGACGAGAGTGGAGAGGAGGCTTTTGATGAATGAGGTGGAACATAACTTCTGCCATGATGACCGACGCTGAGTGAGCCATGGAGATAAAATGAGATGATAGTGTTTACGTATATCCTAAGGAGTCTTCTGTTTGCATCCGCTTTGGGTTAGTAACTTTAATTTGGATTAAGGGGGAAAGTCAGATAAAGATTTGAAGCATTCGAAGAACAAAAATAACATAAATTTGTATTAGATTCCCACACAAGCCCTGAAGATTGAGGCGAAATAAGTTAACACATTCATAACTTAACTGGCTTTAGATGTTCATAACTTCAGCTAGAGAACGATGTCTTCAGTGGATGCAAAATAGGTCTCTAAAACTGACCATGGCTGCCTTTAAATTTCTCTGATTAAATAAAAAATTAAGTCATATAAAATTTTGTCACAACCTCTACAAGGTAAAGGATGAACATAAGTAAGAATGTGGAGGACAGCCGACCCCCCACATGACCCTAAATTTACTATCATCACAGTGAGACATGATGTGGGAATATTTTACTTTAGCAAAAACCAGAACACTGGAGTTTTTCTTGATGAGCCAAGGATAAAAAATGCAGGTTAATCCTGGGGAGAAAATCTGTTCAAGACTGTAAAATACACTCTAAACATACAACCAGAGCTGCACAGGAAGGCACACCACACTTTTCAGATTTTGACCATAAAAATAGTTATCATATTTCTACTGTTATGTTAAAGGCTATGATTACCTTTGCAAGGTATTGCCTGCTACAGCCTGCTACAGCTTTCATTAAACAATTCTCTCTGACCTGACAGTGTTCCATGCATTTTCCTTATGTTACTTTATCTCAAATAAAAAAACTCTGCCCTGTTTGAGTCCTCTATTTTATTTAGTTCACTTAGCAAGACAGAAAGACTCACTCAAAATGGAAACATTAAACAAGAGAGAAAAGAGGGCACACACCCCATCTCCAGTTACTATTTTGCTACAGAAAATACGAGCAAAAAGTTGGATCTGAATCATTGGACTTCTGTTCAAGTCTGTAAATGCCAGAGAATTTCCCACAACAGTATGGTCCCACTCCTAATAGCTCACATGACTCCTCTGCAGGGGGGAGATCTGTTCGACGCCATCACCTCTGCCAACAGATACACAGAGAGAGATGCCAGTGGGATGCTCTACAATCTGGCCAATGCCATCAAATACCTCCACAGCCTCAACATTGTGCACAGAGACATCAAACCAGAAAACCTGCTGGTGAGTGAAAACATTGCAGTGCCCTGTATTTTCTCTTCGCCCTTGTTGTTAACCTGTAATGCAGGATCAAGTATCACTTATTTGACTTATTTTCCTGCTGATCAAATGATTTTTATTATTGTCATTCTCCAATTTCTGCTCTACTTCATTCAAAAATGTGAAAAGTGATGCAAAACCTGGCCAGGATTGGGCCTGACAATCTTTATGACTTTTAAGCAGCTGGATCAGAATTTTAAAGTCAGGTTGTGTTAAAAGATTTGAAACGGCTCAAATCCTGCTGCAGAAGAGGACACTCTTAGGGTCTGTTTAGTATTATTCCAGATTAGTTGCTCCCAGAGCCTGAAGCTAATGGATCATTTAAGAAGACAACCTCTTTGGTCAAAAAACGTTAAGAGCAGCATGTCTTTATAAGTGTTTATTTTCTAATTTAAAAAAAAGTCCATATCAACCTGTAAAAAGATTGTTCTTTAATACATTCCTTTGCTTTGATATTGGACTCTTATTCTTCCCAGTGATGCTCATGCTCTGTTCTCAGGAGGAGGTTATTAGAGTTACTTAGGATTTGCATTCACATTTTAGACTAATTATTTTATTATTAAGTAGCTTCCTTTGAAAAACCTTCATTGGACATGCTGTTAAAGATCACCAGGTGTTGATTTATGCTAAATAAAAACAGCAGATAAGACAAATTAACTGCACCTTACTTGTTAACAGAACTTCATTTAAAAAATACAAATATTTCACTTAATAAAACTGTCGTATTCCTATAATTGGACCTTAGTTTGATTTTCTTCACATGATTTTTTTGTGTTTAGGTGTATGAACATGCAGATGGCAGCAAAAGCCTGAAGCTGGGAGACTTTGGTTTGGCAACCATGGTAGACGGACCCCTCTACACTGTCTGCGGGACCCCAACATATGTAGCACCTGAAATTATCGCAGAGACGGGGTAAGAGCTGCACCTGCAGCCTGAGGCTGTGTACATAAATTATATGATAACAGATGCAGATTAAAATTTATATAATCTCACCAACCCTGCAGTATTTCCTATTTAAATTATTATTATTTTTTTTATCTCTATACAGGTATGGCCTTAAGGTGGACATCTGGGCAGCTGGAGTTATCACCTACATCCTATTGTGTGGCTTCCCACCTTTTCGAGGGTAAGATTATATATACCTGCACAAATAAAAGCTCTTTAAAACATCAGGATTCCAAGAAGCAGCTTTGACTGACAAAAAAATTAGAATAATATTAATTTGTATGTTTTATTTATTTATTTTTTCAAGGAATTTGTATTGTTTTCTACTTGACAACATTTAAACAATAATAGTAGCCTAAAGTTTGTTGATATTTTTTGAGGGTATGCTTATGTTTTTTGCAATTACTTATTTATACCAACTGATGTTGCTATATCCCAAGGCATGAGATTGTATTTTATATGTAGCAGTTCTTTATTTAAGAACTATTTTATTGATAAATGTTTTTCGATTTGGACGTCTTTACAGAAGCAGTGAGGATCAGGAAGCTCTTTTTGATCAGATACTGATGGGACAGGTTGAATTTCCTCTTCCATACTGGGACAATGTCTCAGAGACAGCCATGGTAAGCATCATCTGTGTCCTCTAAAGGAGAGGAAAACCTGCAATTAGAGAAACAAGCTCACGTCTGTCTGCTTGGTTCTGCAGGATCTGATCCGATCCATGCTGGAGGTGGAGGTGGACCAGAGATACACTGCCCTGCAGGTGCTGGAGCACCCTTGGGTTACTGTAAGTATCTGGTCTATGAATTAGAGGAGCATCTCCTCTTCTTTCAGCTGCATCCTTTTTCTATGGTAAAAATTGAAAAAACTAACGTGCTAATCTTTTGCTCGTTGCAGAATGAGGGTCTGTGTGAAAACGAGCACCAGCTTTCTGTAGCCGGGAAGATAAAGAAGCACTTCAACATGGGGCCGAAGGTCAACGACACAAACGCCGGGGTGTCAGTCATTTCTGTAAGTGATCAACTGCAGGCTTCAACTGGTTTGACAGCTATTAGGCATACGTTAAAATGTTTTCCACAAATGAACATTTTCTTTTCCTTAATTTCACTTATTAGCTCCAACGCTTTAGACAGAGCTAATTTTCTGAGTTTCCTCATGTGTGCTGGTGTTTGGTTTCTCCCTCTGTTCAGCTGGATGACAGCTTTTCTATGCAGCGATCTGGGTCGTTGGATTTCTACCAGCACCCGGCTATGTACTGGATAAGGTACGCCAGGTTTCTATGGAGACGTGGAAAATGCCACAAAGTGGCCCGATTACAAAACAAGCTAAAGCAGTGTCTGTGAAATGGATGACCCCCTGTCCCCTCCATCGCTGAGTGCTACCCCTGCTGACTGCTGCTGCTGTGCTGCTATTACAGCATGATTTTGTTTTTGTGTTTGCCTTTTTACTCGTCCTCTTTCATCCCTCCCTCCATTTGCACACGTTTCATAACAGCCTAACCTGCACTGTCTTTTGTTGAGCTTTTTTATCGGTGTTTATCAGTGTCTCCTGGAACAAAGCTGCATCTTTGATACAAAACTTTGCGATTTGCAGAAAATCTCTTTATGATTCCTGCCTTTTCAAACAAACATCCTTCCCCTGTTTGTGTCTTTGAGTTCTTGTTGTTTCCTGCATTTATGAATATTGCTTGGTGTGTTGCTTCCAGCCCAGCTTCCCTCTCTAACAGCACGCCTTGCTCTTCACCTTCACCGGCCCCTGGCTTCTGCTGTCTGACCTTTCTACTGACATAAGCAGGAGGCAATAGCTTATTGAGATACCAGTTGCAAGAGGAATTGATGGCACTCATGAGTTAATCAACAAAATAATTAGCTGCTATGATTAACCAGATATTAAACTAATTATGTGTCAGATTCTTTTGTTACTTTGGTTTTATAATCAAATTAAAATGCATTTTATACAATTTAGAAAGAGTGATGGAGGACTCCAATGCTCCCCGGAAAAGTATAGAAGTTTATCTAAGTATTTTCCATTCAGTCATTATGCACGATTATATTTGATTTCTTTTTATTGCTAAGCAAAGGAATGGGACCTTTTAAAAAACAAACATGGGGAATAATGACAGACATGTGTGAAGCTATGAAGAAACAAAAAATGTATTTCAATCATTCCTCCTGTGACTGTCCATCTAAACAATTAGAGTATCTTTAAAAGCTCTTAGGAAGCTGCTTTGTCCTCCTTACCAGGCTACATATTCTAGGTCTGATCATGCTGTCCTCTTGTTCCTCCCTCTGACAGGCCACCCCTCTTGATAAGGAGGGGCAGGTTCTCAGACGAGGACGCCACCCGAATGTGAAGCCGTCGCCTTTGCAGATGATCCAGACTGTGAACGCAGAAATGACATCCAACGCAAGCCGACCGGAGCCTCCCAGTTGCCTGCCCGGCCTGCCCGCAGACCCCCCCTCTCTGACCCCTGACACTCGCTCCGACCCCTCCTCGGATCCAAGCCCCTTGTCAGACTCTGATGATGTCTCCATCAGCTCGGTCAGCACTGTCTGCTCCCCCAGCTCACCCTTCTAGTGATTAAAGGGAGGGGAGGAGGAGGAGGAGGAGGAGAAGCAAGGAGGGAATCCTCACCCAGCTCCTCCTGTATAGAGGAGAAGGAGGAGGGGTCATTGTGGATAACTGTGGGGAAAGGAGAATTGAGAGAGAACTTTGAAATCCCCTGAATCCATCTATCCAACTCAAGAGGAGAGATTGATCGAGGGGTGAAAGAAAAAAGATGAGTTTCTTATATTTCTTTTTAACATTCTCTCATCTGAGCACATGTCGAGCTCAAGGAGCAGGAAAGGGCACGAACTGTTTGCCTTTCGGTGATGATCCGGGCCAAACATGGAAACTTCCTCACGCTGGAACAGCTCAATATGGCAATATGAGAACACTGACCAACGTTCATATTTTATTGAACCTTATTTAATCATGGTTTATTTATTGCATTTTTTTATACGCATATCTCTTTTTCATAGAGGAAAAAATATTGTCTTTGTACTTAAGAATGGAAATGAAGGAAAAGTATGTAGAGGTATAATTTGGATAGATTAAAGTAGGCTGATAGAACCAGAAATGGAAGAAGTAGAAATGTTTGGACTGGTCCTAGAGCTCTGCTCCACTCAGCCTTCTCTTAATGTTAGGTTTACATTTTACAAAGTCGACAATGGTGCATGTTATCACTTCTTTTTACTTTCTTACCTGAAATAGTCACAACATCTTAAACCTGAAGATACAGCAGCATCCAAATGCTTGTAGCAGACATCTGAACTACTACTTCGTCACACACTAACTGACACTTCATAGATCTTTATTTCTAACAACCACCAGAGCTGTAATTCAGGGATATTCAGCTGCATCTCAAACAGTTGGAATGCCTTATAAAAAAAAATAAAAACAATTCCAATAACCTCAAATATAACAGATTTTTAACAGGAGTGATAATACCAGATCATTATTTTGGGTAATTTTCATTATTTTGGCTTGAAGCAACTGAAACACCCAAATTATGTCAAAAAAAAAAATCAGATTACATAAGATTAATAAAAAGTGTTTTTTTGACAGCTTACTGAAAAGTATGACCATGTAGCAACTGTACAGAATATGCACTTAAATGCTTCGTCATGGGCTCCTTTTGCTTTAATTACTAGACCAATGGAGCACAGCATGTAGGCAACCAGCCTGATGCTCTGCTGAGGTGTTAAGGAAGCCCATGTTGTTTTAATAGTGGCCTTTATCATGCCTTCATAGTTGGGTATGGTGTTTCTCATCAGCATTTTGACAGTATTTCACAGTTTGTTTGTTTTTTATGTTTTGGTCAGGTTAGTTTGCTGAAAAGCTGTTAGCATGGTCAGCAAACCAGGCATTGATTGTTTTGGCAGTATTAGCTTAAAAATGCTTAAAAATGAAACCATTATAAAGCTTGTCAGCTGGCAGACAAACCTATGGGAATTTGGTAACTTTACCAAATTCTTTTAAAAGACTTTCTCTCCCAATCCTTTTGCTTGAGCACTTTTTCTACCGTTCTTTTGCCTTCTGCCTGATTTTCCATTGATATACTTGTAAATGGCTCTTTGTAAAGTCAGCTTCTTCGTCAACTATCAAGCTAACACTTGATATTCTATTGAATGAATATTCTATTCATTTATTTATTGATTAGTTTATTGTCTTATGTAATGATGTGGATTTCTAATTTATGGGTATTTGGGGTTTCATTTGTTATAAGCCATCAAATATAATCAAAAATACCAGAAATAAACTAATACAACATATTTCTTATTGTGTAATACATCAGCATAATATAAAATCTTGAAGATATGTAATGAAAATCATTAACTTTTTGATATTCTAATTTTTTGAGATGCACCTGTTTTCCAACATTAAAGAAAGGTACAAATGTTGTGATCCTAATGCTCCTTAAATAGGTGCTCATAATGATTAAGGGGTGCCTATTTACATAAAGATATTTCAGCCTTTTTTTATTAAAGGCGGCAGAGAGAGAATGGCAGTATGGATGAAAACCAGCAGCACTCGTGTGCAAAGCAGTTAAAAGATGGAGGAGGACTTATTTAAGCTCTGTAAACCTCATTCATGGCTTCATTTATTAGATGAAAGCATGACAGACATACAGTAGCCTATTCTTATAACAAAGCTGTTTAGTGGTGAAGTATTGTTTATATGTTATGTAAATAACAGTTTTATTTATTTTGATAGTTCACAATACAGTATATTTCTTTACTAGTAGTCAATCTTTGAAAATGATAAAAAAAAAAACGAAAAAAAAACAAAAAAAAAAGAGAAATAATAATAATCATGTTTCACCATCAGTAAGCAGGAAAAAGAAAAATATGAATCCAGGAATCATCTGGAGGAAATGGAAAAAAAAAATACAGTTAAATAACAGAACAATTTTTTTTTACCTGATGTTGTTCCATCTAGATAAACTTAGTGAATCCTATATAAAAAAAAAGAAAAAGAAATCATAATATTTCATATTCAGTTCATACAAAATTTTACTGTTCGTAAAATCAGTTGGTTATTTTAGTTTCCAAATACTAATATGAAGGAAGAAATGGAGAAACTCTACTATTTGTAGCTTTTTTCCCAACAGTTTTTGTGAGATTTTATTGCATCTGTGTCATTTGTCTGCCTTTTTCGTCTTTCTTCCAATCATAGGATATAGATGGTAATGTGCTGCAGTATGAACATGTTGTACTGATGGAACCCAGCACACGGTTAACCAAAGTGCTCTCACTGCTGCACCGCATTCAGCCTGTCCTGAATACTTATACCTGTACCTCTCCTCATCACTGGTCTATCAATAAATAGTAGTAATAAATAAGACATGCTTAAAGGTTTGTTTGCGTCTTTTATGTCAGTCTATTGTCCAAGTGTTTGTCACACAGGATATAGTTTAAGGTGGAATGTTATTAATATTTGCATGATATTTTTGTTATTACTAAGAATAACTACAGATTTTTGTAAGAATAACAATAGGAATATTTCAAGACAAGAACAATAAGAAAACAAAATATTGTTTTGGTTATTATTTTTGTGCTGTTTATATTGTTCTAACATGTTCAAAACACATTACCATCTCCTACTACTTAACTCCTCTATTACTATCCAAACGAAACAATTAATTGCACCAGATATTGAGAAAAGGGAGAATAAAGGGTTTCACATAATGAGGACAAAATGGAGTTTCATAGCTCATTTATCAGAGAATCTTATGGTTGACAAAGAAGATTGTAAGACCAACATGGTCATAAAACCACATTAATGTAGATAGATCAATGGCAGCTTTCAGAAGAGAAATACAATGAATATTTATCAAGAGATTTATCGTCAATTTAAGGGAATGTACAGTGATTTTACACAGATCTATACAAATGGATCGAAGGACAATGAAACTGAAGAAACTTCAGCAGCAGTAGTAATTCTTAAATTACAAATTAAGAGATCAAAAAGAGCATCCACATTGTTAAGAATGCAGTAGGATTATGTGAATTACGGTAGTAGAATAAGGAAACTAACAATTTATAATGATTCTTTGTCAAGCATTGAGAAGGTGAGTACAGAAAAAAAAAAGCACTTAAGCTTCCGGAATTAAATTATATTCGTTCCTCATAGAGTATATGAACAAAATAATAATATGGCAATGGAGTGGACTTATATCTAAGGTGGTGTTTTGGAAGATAAAAGAGCAGATACATTTGCAAAGGAGGCTATTAAGAAATAGATATTGAGCTACAGCTACCACTATCTAGGTCTGAGGGCATAAGAAAATATTGGGAAGAAACTAGAAGTTATGGAAGACGAGATGGGATAATGAGGTAAAGGGAGACATTTAGACAGAATACCAAAAAAAAGCAGTTGAGATTTCAAGACATAGAGGAGTGAATAGGAGGGAAGTCGTAGTGAAAGAAGGTCATTGTCTCTTAAATGCTAGACTTTTTAAGATGGAAGAACATTTTAATATGTTTTTTTATTGAGTTCACTCGGTATAAAATTAAAAGACAATCTTTATGCTTAGATGTGGGTTTTATTGAGGACATGGCGTTTGAAGATAGTGCTGCACATTTAAATGTTGAAGGTTTTTCATGTTATAAGCAAAACTGTTCTAATCAGAGGAATTTAAGACAATTTAGATTTTAATGTGTAAACCACACGATGGCAGTAGCGCAGCTTGCGCCGAATTCAAGCCACCATTAAAAACCAACGAAGAAGAAGCCGCAACCGTTGGTTGAATAATATCTATGGGTTGAATGGTATGGTTGAATGTGAAGCTTTTATTATTCTGGCCAACAGGTGTCGCTGTAAGACTGGAAAACAATGCAGAGAAGAAGAATTTTGTTGAAGAAGTGTTGCTTTCGCTTAGCAGCGATATTGTATAGGTTTTTCCAAATATAACATGTTTTATAAGGAAAAATGTATTAATAACTTCTAAGTACGTCATTCGTATTTAAAAACGCGTCAAAGTGCGGTCTGTGTTGTTCAGTATCGACGGCTACAAGTTCAATAGTCATGAGCGACAAGGACACTTCTTCTTTCGCCGCAAATAAAGACAAGGACTCAACTCTTCTGCTCACTAAAGACGGACAGAAGTATTTTGTTAATAAAAGCGGAGCTGTGGACAGCAGGAATGTCAATACGCCGCAAGAGTCTGAAAACAACGTGTCCTCTTTGAGCATAGACGATCCGGACGAAGAGAGCGACGTCCTGGATGTTTCTGACCCCAGAGACGGTGCAGCCAGCCCGGAGGAGCTCAATGAGGAGGAGACCTCCGAGAGCGACAACGCCCCCAAGCAGTGCACCTACGAAGGCTGCACCGAGAAAACCACACAGGTGGCGAAGCAGAGGAAGCCGTGGATGTGCAAAAAACACCGCAACAAGATGTATAAAGATAAATATAAGAAGAAAAAGAGTGACCAGGCGATGTCCAGCGGGAAGCTCGAAGTAAGGAAATATTATTTAAATCTAAAGGGCCGCTGTGATTACAGCATGCGTGTGTCTTAAAATGACTTATAAGTACTTGTGTTTATAATGTTTTTCATGAGTTTCAGTGTAAAGCATTAAATTAATTTTCTTTGTGGGGATAATTAGGAAAACTCTGAGGAGCGTCCGGTGTCTGTGAACAAACAGCGTCTGGGGGCCATGGGGGACCGTCCAGCCAGACCCTCCCTCATAGAGCAGGTGCTTAACCAGAAAAGACTGGTGAGTAATTAATGTGCACAAATAAGGAATAGTTGTATCAACCATACATGTAAACAGAGTTTTATGGGCCCCCAGGAACTTGGGGCCCTAGGCAGCTGCCTAGTATTGCCTAATGGTAAATCTGCCTCTGAACACAATATTATCCAAAAGTGAACTGAGAAACATTCCTGTGACTCAGCAGCATCTGCATTTATTTCTCTTATTTACCAGGTTTGAACCTAACGTATTTTAAATATCCTTAGAATGAAAAAATACTCCAACATTATTTTGTTTATCTTGTGGTGCCTAAAATATGTCGGAAAATTGTATGCACTTGTGATTTCCATGGCCAAAGATATTAAACACTATTTGTTCGTAAAGGACAAAAATAATAAATCAGATAAAACTACATAACAGGTTTGGTACTTGCCTTCTCTAAAACTGCAGAATTTACCTGGAACTTACAAGTAGGGATGGACAGTATGGCCAAATCTTGAATTAAGATGTATTTTTTGATATCCACTGATGTTATTTAATCCCAATATCTATAGAAATGAAATAAAGGCATCAGAAGGAATACCAAAAATGCCCACAAGAGAGTCATTATGTTAATTATATTGCCACATTTATAGAACTCCTCTAATTTAACAGTTGAGTTGACTTCTTAAAATAAAAACTATATAATACATGGAACGTCTGTTAGAGACAAATGCTGTATAATGAAATATTGGAGATGACGTGTTGGATTCATATTGCTTATGATGCCATACAAGACCCTTCTCCAGCTTACCTTTAAACTGCACACTCTCATAAAGTACACTGTAAGGTTCAGACATCACTCTTCTGTAATTTAAAGATAGGTTTTATAGAATTTATCAGTTACGATTTAGTTTTCTGCAACTTTCTGGATCTGGTTTCCTCTCTAAACCTCAGACTATGCTTTACTTTAACTTTGAAGTGACTTTTCTGGGATTTAGAAAGCACTTTTAAGAACTTCAGGTTACAATTTTGGAATTTAAATGTGACTTTCCAGGAAAGTAGAGCTTATATAATTCTTTATCTGATTATTTCAAGGTTATTTTCAAGAATATGATTTAATTTCCCAAAACTTCAAAGTTCAATTTCTCCGACTTTGATGTTACATTACTCAAACTAAGTTTACTGTCAGTGTCTACGCACTTAAGTTTTTTCTTTGAACACAAATGCTTCTGTCTTTGGATTTAGAGGTTACTTTTTTTTCAAAGTAGCGCCTTGTTTGTAGGACCTGAGAGATAAGTTGTCCGTAAAATAAAGGCTAATAATATTGAACTTAACGTTTAGCATCTTAAAACGCAGGTTAAAATTTTTTACCAGACACTTGTTTTGTTTTGAATTAAAGTCTACCACAATGTGGCTTTTTATTTTAATGCAAAATTGTAACTGTGCTTAATCTTATATAGCACTTTTCCAATGTACAGATTAATCAAAGTTCTTTAAACTCCTAAAAATACACACACATTTAGACACTTATAGGCAGATATTAATGCAGTTAGGAACTTAAAGGGGAACAATGTTTATTTTACATCGGGCCTTGTTTTTACGTTATTACATCGTGTTCTACTCACCCATATAAGTTTTGTGTCATTTGGAGCTGTTCCGAAGATATTCCATTAGGTTATATACGAAGACATGGTTATATTTTTTTATAGTTATATGTTTTAAAAACAAACGGGAGTGTGTATGACGTCATCCGTTATATTACATTTACCAATTTAGACACCTCTGCAAACGTTTTCTATTGGAAATTATCTTACCCCATACACCTACTAACCCATGGCCGTACTAACAGTGCTTATTTGACTGCAACTTTGAGTTTCAGGAGCCTTATTAGCTTGCGCTACTCACTTTAAGGAGCTGACCTACTGATTCCTAAAGTAAAGCCTGTAAAAGTGTAAAAGGTGTGTACCAGTGTGGACAGTTTGATACAGCAAGTAAATCCACTACAGTAACCCTCAAACCACTAAAGGCAGTACGAGTTGTTTTTTTATACAGATATTGAAGAAATAATAACATATAATTTAAAAAAATTAAAGATATGAGGAGCAACATTAAAATAGCATCCCATTATTTCCACAAAAGAGGGTAATGAGTTGCTATTTAAATCTGTGAAAACTGAGCAATTCTGTCGGCTCACGTTAGCTTACCTGCCTGTACTTGCCATGGCCTACATGACTGAAAATTTAGTGGAATGTGGCTCTGGAAAGCAACCTCATCCTTGAAGAATCGGGTTTAAAGCAAACTTAGGAAGGAGCCTTGCAGAAGCTAACATGAATGTCTTTGTCCTCCAGTCTCTGCTCAGGAGTCCAGAGGTGATCCGGTTCCTTCAGCAGCAGCAGCAGCTCCTGGCTGCACAAACCCGCAGCCAGTCACAGCAACACTTCCAGGGCTGTTGACGTCGAACTGATTGGTTTGCAACAAATGGACTGTTATAAAATATAAATAAACCCTATTTGGTGCAGAATCAGATAAAGCTGCAAATCTGACCTTTAACTTTTACAAAAAATATTTGTATAAGTGTAGGCAAACATTTCCCTCCATTTAATCCTTCATAATGCAAAATTAATCCACACCTTAAAATGTAAATGTCTAAAGTTGTTTGGATTTTGAAACACTGTTTATGTATATTTATGTTGAGTTTTTTTAATTGATAATTTATGTTAATTCTTGCTCTTCTTGGTGGTATTTATGTGTCGTATCATTGTGAAAACAAGCTAATATAATTAATTTAAATCTATATTAGTTGTATGGTAGTAATAAAGCGTAACAAATGCATAATTTCATGTATGTTGAAATAATCCATTTTTCTTGTACAAACAAAAAGCCTCCCTGCTTGTTTTTTAAAAAACATCTTTTTCATCAATGTTCAGTACAAGCCAAATTATTTATAAATGCAAAAAAGTCAATGTAAGTTAAAAATGTGAGATGTGAAAATGGAAATTATTGTATGACATCTTTGTTGCACAGTTTTCCCTGCTGAGTGTATAAAAATAAAAAAAACATTGATAGTGAGACAAAGTGAATTTACAGAGCTGTTTGAGCTTTATTCTTTTGATTTAAAGTATTATTTCAAGCCCAGAACAGTGGCCGCAGAAAGACCAAGCTCTAACATCAAAGGGGGAGGGGTCTCTGACAGACATATGTAAAAAAAGAAAAAAAAAAACTTTAACTGAGAAAATATAAAAAGTAAATAATACATTCAGTCAACACATGAAAATACACCACAAATAACTATAACAGTACCTCCAAATATATCCCATTTAGTCTTTGTGCAGCTAAAGTGTCTGAAAAAATCCAGAAATGCTTCATTATACTTGAAACTATTGAAATCACATCAAGTGTTTACATCATTTTAAATAAAAGAGCAGTTGTAGAATAAACTTTAGCAGTGAACAGCACAGTAGTCATGAAATGTGACGAAATAACGGACAGAAAACTAAGCAGAACATCTCACTACCTGTGTAAACACAGCAGGCACACACTTAGAAGTGTGTGTGTGCCTTTATGTTATGAAACCGAAGAGATGGGGTTGTGCGGGGAGCCCATCTGCGTGAGGACCTTGTCAAGCCACTGCAGGGGTCCATGTAGGTGCACTTCGATCCAGCAGGGGGTGCTGGTCACATCTTGGCGGTGGTATTCGGCCCCCCAACCCTGAGGAATGAAAAGAGGCCAGTTGGTTGAATGGTGGTGTTAATGCTAACCACTGATCTCTATTTAGACCTTACGCAGGTAACCAGTCCCTAGATTTACTAACCAAGAAAATCCATATATTTGCCGATATATCCTAACCTTAGTCTGGCTATTTTGGACCGACTCAAAGTCATTGACTGAGTCAGCCGTTGACATTGTGTCTAACATTAGAAAATAGAAAGTAGAGTAAATACAAAGTAATTCACTGTAAAATGTCAACGTAGTAATTTTTGATGAAATGGATGATGATGTCATTTTTGAAGTGTTTAATATATTTCTCATTTGGAAAAAGTGCTGAAATATATTGCATATTATATTGATGGAAAAAGATATAAGTATATTTAAATGTGAATTTGCACTACATGTTTAAGTTATATTATTAAAGGTATTCAATTACTGGACAGTGTATGTGTGTGTTTGTGTGTGAATATACATATTTGTATGTATATTCACATATGTATAAGAATATATTATGTATGCAAATGATCAGTTTTTTTGTTGTAACTATGACCACAAAGCAAAATATGAATTTGATGTCTGTTATTTCGTCAATTTATGTGATTTTGCTAGTGTGGAAACTGAACCTCTGTGGAGTTATTAAATTGGTTCATTAATTTAGCTTTATTGTAAATCTATGACGAGGCTAATGCACAGACACAGCATAAAAGTATATGGCATCATGTAGGGCTAGGTATTGTTCAAAAATTTTCGGTTCCGGTACCAATACCGATACCTTCACCTCGATACCGGTTCCTGAACGATACTTTTTTCGATACCAGTTTTATAATATCAATGATAAAAAAAGAAAATTACACAACATAAAAATGTACAAATCTTGAGTTTTATTTTAAGCTCTGATTTTTCCATTTACATTTTTCCTCTTACATAAAAAAAAAAAATTCACTGTTACATTGTGAGGACCTTTTTCCTTAGCAGTTTTCCTTTAGAAAAATTACCATGTCTGACAAACA